CAGCAGCGCCACCCACACGTTCAGCTTTTCCTGCTCCTCCCTGCGGGCGAGGAGGCCATACACGAGTCCATCGACAGCCCAGCAAGCCCCCACTTCCATTTGGGCAAATCAACCAACTACGTCCTCGTCCAGGCACCAAAAGGCCCTGTCCCCACTGCAGCTCACACAGCATCGCGAGGCTGTGGCCCTGTCCCCACCCTGACTGCTGGGTTTCTGCCTGTATTCCTGGGGAGGAAGCCTACCACATCCCCAACTGGCCTGTGACCTGGGCTGGAGGCAGAATCCTGGATCTGATTCCCCCCATACAAGAGAATAAAGCAAAGGCTGCCATCTTGCTTCACCACGTTTTGGAAAACCAGCTCTACTAGGCCTGGGAAATGGCCGCCTACAGGGTTCCCACCCGGGAGGTGCAGAGCTCTTTTCCCCATCCAATGTCTGCCCCAACCTGGGAGCCTTATTCCAGGGTAGGGACTCGTGTAAATGTGAGCCTCAGCAGGTTCAATGGAGGACTCTAAAATAGAAACGAGTGACTGTTTCACAGCTTCGGCGTGGGCCACAATGAGGGAAAGCCTGGGAATCCACCCTGGCAGCCCCCCGACTGCCGTGTGCCTGCCCAGGAGGGAACGACCCACAGGTCAAACCCATAAGCCTGGGCGGGCAGATGAGGAGCTCTCTGCCTAAGGCCCTGCCTGAGCTGGGGGAGGCAAGGCCGAGACCTGAAGGAGATGGTCTTCAGGGCTCTCTCGGCCACGGCGCGGGCCTTCTCAATCTCCGTGGCTTGCAAGTGGAACGCCATGTACTGCAGCCACAGGATGGAGCTATTGGGGGAGCTTAGCACGAGCCGGTCAAAATCATCTGCTGACTCTGGCTGGCGCCTAGGGTCCATCAGCGCCTCCTCAACGCGGGACAGCTCTTTCTCTGCCTTCTGCTGCTCCAACTCCCGTTCCTTCTTGCTTTTCTTTTTCCGCTGTGGAAGGCAAAAAACAAGTGAGCAATCTGTTCCTGAAACCTGGGGGAGGTCTGTGGTGGAAGTCACAAGTCGGCAGGGCACTCCATGGCTCTATGGGACCAGTTACCATCCCTCCCACACCCGAGAAAAGCCTCCCAGACGGGGACAGTGCACAGGAGACTGGCACCAAGGGGTCCCTGTGCAAAGGACAAAGCCCTGGAAAACACAGCACCGTGGTGTGGTGTGGCTTCTCATCCTCCTCGCTGTCTGAGCTCTCTGCTCGAGGGGGCAAGGCTGGGGTCAGAGAGTCTAGCCCGACGTCCCAAACGAAGCCCGAGGTCAGCTGCAGCCGGGGTGCTTCTGCTGGTTTGGTCGGCTTCTCCTAGAGGACCGCGGAGGTGCTCAGGCTGTCCCCGTGCCCCGGCCCCAGCCCACCTGGAGGAACACAGGCTCCCACCATGCCCAGAGACCCTTCCGCTCCTCCCAGGCCAGGCCCCAGCCCACTGAGGAAACTTTACAGTAGTGACATAAAAGTTTCCTTTTAATAAATAAATTTCCTAAATAAATTTTCTTAAGTAACATTTTTTTTTCTTCTTTGTAGGTTTTAGAATTTCTCTCTTCCATAAGAGGAAAGGAGAGAAACATACACATACCCAACAGGGTCTCACCCCATGATCCAGCGCCAGTCTCAGCTGGCCGGGATTACAGGCACACACATGCCTAGTGTGCTCAGGGAGGTCCCAGAACCTTCTCTCCATGTGGATCCAGTTGTGCTGTCACTGCACCCCCACCTACCCCACCAATATTTCAATCTACATATGCACGTGCGCGTGCACACACACACAGAGTAATAGTGCAGCTGGGACAGAGGTGTGACAAAAATCCCAAGGGCGGGAGGGATGCAAGTATATAGTCTGGGAAGCCCTGTCATCCCAGACCTCTCAGCTAAAGTACGAGTCCTTAAAAAGTTCATGGAAAGTGTGCATTGTGAAAAATACTTAGCATACATTTCGAAGTTCTTTTGCACCAAAATAAAACTTGGTCTTTAATTCCATTTTCCACAAATTTTCTGAAGGTCTCTTATGTTTTTTTTTTTTTTTTTTTCATTTTTCAGAGAAGGATGCAGGCTCAGAAAGGCTAAGCACTTCTTTGTCTGCCTGCCTCCCTAACCTAGTTCCACTCAATATACATTTTTACTTTTATTTTTTAGAGAGAGTTCTTGCTATAGGGAAGGTGTGCTTGCCAGAGACAGAGGGACAGAAAATGAGAAATCACCCCTATCCCAGGGGAGGATGGCCATGCTGCAATCCCTTCTCCATTCTTCTCTTGAAATCTTGAGCATGTGTGCACACAGGCCGAGTGTGAGTTTTAAGCTGCAGTGTCCAGCAGTTGAATCACGGTCAACTACGTGGGAGTCCAGCGACATAACCGTTACGCCATCTGCTGGTCCCTCGATATACATTTTTAGAATTTATCTTACACACTCTATGTGTAAACAGGGTCCCTGTTCCCAAGGAGCTGATGATAATAAGAAACCAACAGCCTCAACCCCTCTGCATATTTTACAGGAAAAGAGATTAAAGAGGATGGTGCCAAAGACAGCTCAGCTCTTATGGAGGAAGCCAAGGTCTCTCCCTCCTGCTCTACTCAATGCTGTCCTCACCTGGGCCAGCACAGTCGACTCGTCCATCTCCTCTTCTCCTTCCCGGTAATACACTTCCACGCCACTGTCGTCCTCCTCCGCCGGACCAGCCTTCCTCTGCTTCTTGCTCACTCTCTCCTAAGGAGACAGGTTGGGGAAATGCCCAGGAGCTCTGGCAGTGCCAGGCAATGGCCCCACCCCCCGACCACAGTGCCCGGCCCCACACACCCACAGGCCGCTGTGCACCCACAACAGACCTGCTCGCTCCCAGACTCGAGGCGTCCCCGCTTGCCCTGCTGCACTCGCGGAGGCCGGGGCTGGCTCTTCTCCTTGCTGGAGGGCTTCACCTCCACCTGCCCTTTCTGGCTGGGCTTCTCTTTCCTTTTCAGATTCTTCTTTTTCTCTTTGTCCTCTCCTGTTTGGTCTCTCTCCTCAGCCTTTACCTTCCTCTCCTCTTGTTTCGGAGATGGCAGTTCCAGGGAGGCAGACAACACATCTGGCTTCCCAGTGTCAGCAGGGAGGAATGACAGCTCTACCAGTTTCTTCTGGGGGTTCAGGCTGGACAGGGCGAGATGGAGAGTGGGAAGTGGAGCGACTTTCAAAGAGCAAAGGCGAGTCGCCAACGTGCCACCTGACTGAGGAACACCCAGAAACTGAGGCCACGTGAGCCACAGCTATGGCTGCGTTGGTGAGCACCAAAGCACACTGGAGGCTGGGGTGATGCTGGTGGCACACATCGCCACAGGACCAACTTCGACAAATACCACCCGGATACGTTGGGAACGCTGGGGAGAGGAACCAGCACTTCCGCCCAGTGGTCAGCCCTGAAGAACTGTGGGCCCTGGTCGGCGAGCAGACTCGGGTCAATGCTGCCAGTGAGCCCCGAGTGGCTTCCATGAGTCATCGAGTGAGCGCAGGCCACTGCAAAGCTCTGGGGAGGGGAAGCTCCTGAAGCAGCCTGTCATGTGAAGGCCCAGTTATTCCATAGACGCGCTGAGGAGAAGAGTGCGGGGGTGTGCATATGTGTGTGTGTGTGTGTTGTTCGCATGCATGCGCGTGTGCGTGTGTATTGGTGGGAGCACTGCTTGAAGTCAAATAGAGAGAGGTTCATTAAATGCTAACAAGTGAAGAAAAGAAAAAACAAACGAACAAAGGAGCCATGCACAGTGGTGCATGCCTATAGTCCCAGTCACTCAGGAGGCTGAGTCAAGAGGATCGTGAGTTCAAGGCCAGCCTAAGCAACATGGCAAGACCCTATCCCAAGGAAAAAAAATGAAGACAAGGACAAGGCAAACAACCCAGGCCTTCTGTCTGCTGATCAGCCCACAATTGCAGGCCTCACTCCACCTGCCTTGGGAATCCACTCAGTACTCTTAGGAGTGATTTGCACATTTTACCTGCTTAGGAGAAAAATACGAGAAGGGCAGCATGACCAGGCCCAATCGAAGAATGCTTTCTCTCTCTCTACCTAAGGTGCACACATGTGGCCTCAAGCAAAACAACAACAACAAAAAACAACACACAAACACAGGGAGTAGCTGTGATGTTCCCCTATTCCACTCTCAACAACAGGGGCCTCTGCAAAGGCCAGAAGCCACATCTGTTTCTAGGGGATGAGGCTGATAAAACCTAGTAAGACATTTCACCCACCTGAACACATACACCCACCACTACCCAAGCGATATATTTTAAAGTTTATCTTGAAATCTGCCTCCAGGGCTCCCACAGAAAGGGGTTTGACTCACATCACAGAAAGCCATGGAGAGATGGAGGGAGGGAGGAAGGGACCTACCTTAGGACCTTGGCTGTGAGCAGCTTCCCGCTGGGGAGGTATCTGTCATAAAGGGCTTTCTTGGATGGACTGCGATGGGAGACGTGCGGGTACTGGGCCAAACCCGCAACCGAGGGGCCAAGGCTGAAAGCAGAAAGACAGGGGCCTGAGGTCACAAGCAGAGCAGACTCCCAGCCGTGCCAGGGGCTCCGGGCCCAGGGACTCAAGTTGTCACAAGGATTTACAGTGGACGTGAGGTCCTGGCATTAGGCAGGATTAAGGTGGACTTTGTAAACTGAAAAAAATGACCACGCGTGGAGAAGGTGAGAGGGAGGACATTGTTTAGCTCCACATCACAGGATGAAGTGACAGCACAGCAACCACAGACTGCTCAGAAGAGTGGGAGGTGAGCGAGCAGCAGGGAGGCGGCACATCTGTGGCTGCAAACACGATGTCCCTGGACGCTGTAAGTTAGACTCTAAATTAGAGAAAACCCACATTTATTTCAAACGGAAATTGGATATGCTAAACTGAAACACCAAACAAGAAATAACAATTCAAACTCCCCCCTCCTTTTTTTTTTTTGAGAGATTTTTACTACAGGGCACATGCGCTCACTGGAGAGACAGAAGTGAGAAATCACCCCCCAGGGGGGATGGCCACACAGCAATCCCTTCTCCCCCATTCTCCTTTTGGGATTTTGGGCACACACTCGCACAGCCAGCCTGAGTTTTAAGCCACAGGCTGGGACTCGAAGTGATGTAACCATTACACCATCTGCTAGACCCTCAACCTTTTTTTTTTTTTTTAAAGAATTTATTTATTTAATTCCATTTTTTTTTGTTATTATTATTTTTAATCTGACCAGAGGCGAAGAGAAAGGGGAAGCGAGAAAGCAAGCCACTAGGTCTGGGACTTGAACCGCAGTCAGCCACACGGGAATCCAGAGCTTTAACCACCATACCACCCACAGACCCCTCAAAACCTTTTTAAAAGTATTTTTTAAAACTTGGAATTTTTTTAAAAAACCAGGGAGCACTTGTAAACGCCCCTTTCTCCATGTTCCCCTCAAAAAGCCGACTGAAGAACCCAGTGACTAGAAAACAAGAGAAGCCGGAGGCCCTCTCACTTACCCCAGCAGCACGCCTTCGGGCTGGACAGACCTCACGTAGCCTCTCAGGACCTGTCCTTTCTTAATGTCCTTGATGGAGTTAATCTCCGGATCTTCTATTTTGCTTTTTGTCTCCGGGTTTGTTCTACATGAATAAAAGGTACTTAAGTACCTTCAATGCCCCGTTTCCCATCCTTGACCCCAGTCCTCCTCTAAGTATCTCACTTTAAAACATGGCTCTGGATCTGTCACTAGAATATAACCATCAGAGCCCACCCCTGCTGTCTCCTGGAGCCACATGTCCATCAGGCCAGGGCATGTGTCTGTGAGCCAGCGAGTACAAGCGGCCA